AAATCTGCGCGTGATCGGAATCAGGATAAGTGGTCAAAAATCATCTGCCACCTTGTATACTACCCCGCCATTTGAAGCTGGTTGCAATGTGGTCTCTGCAACAAAGGCTGCGTTATTGAAGAAAGACGCCACGTTACAGTGTGTCTCCTGGAGTTCCTGAAGTTTGTGCCTGCGAACAATAGGCTGTTGTCTACACACAAAGTGAGAAGCCTGGTTCCGTTATCCGACCGATTCTTATTCGGTGTGTGATGTCCACACAGGTGCAATTCACGTGACAGCTGCCGATCAACTCGTGATTTTCAATCGATTGCGAATACGACGACGTCCGATTTGCCTGCTGTACATAGCAACTGATGAAGCTGGTGATGGAAGTCGTCCTTGATTGATTCACAGCTGCAACCGGTTGACGCATAAGCGGAGATCACAGACAAGTTGCGCATTTCAGCGCAATGTATGTTAACCATGCATGACCATAATCAGATGTCAACCGGAAACTAATCCAGGAGAGCGGTCACGGCTTTGCTGTTTGATGCCACGCCAACCCCAGCCAAACCAGGTGCTTCCGCGTTCCCAGACAAACGCAGGTTGTATGTGGCTCCCGGGTTGGTCGGGGATGTCAATTTGAGCACAGTGCTTGGGTCTTGCAAGCGTGTTTCTGCAAGGCAGCGGATATCAATAGCGAAGGAATTCAGAGTACGTACCGAACCGGCCTGTTGCCCTATGTACATAAGTGTCCGAACATTAAAATTGCCGGCCGAATCTAGGATCGACGTCGAAGGATAGCCTCAGGCCATACTTCAAAAGCAATGGCGAAACCGGCATCTGGATTAACTTGAGGGTAACAAGAATTAACAACATAATAATGCTCGGCGTGTGGTGGCGTTAGGTAAGAGGTGACGGAGTCAGGAAAGAAAGGGAATGAATAGATAGATACTTGAGGACGCGTCCGCTCTGGAGCTGGGCTTAATATAACCAAACGGGCAACTAAACTAGTGCTGAATACAATCCGCGCTGTAATTATTACATTTGTGATGCTCAAGAACGTCTGTGGCTTGAAGATATGCGGTGTGTCAGGACCTACTGTGAGGTCATCGCAGATAGATAGGACTGCCGCCATCAACTCTGCCATGTACTAAATGGATCGCAAAATGGCCTTCCCTCAGCGCCGTTTTACCCCGGATCGGTAGCGTTTCATCAGTTTGCCTGATCTACTCCTCGGTAGCGCAGTAGGGAACATCGTGTTAACCCAAGGTCGCTGACATCAGTTGTTCATCTCTCAGCTTTATTTTCACGATAACGGTTGCCCCTATAGCGGCTGGCTATTTTGATCGAACCCTGCCTTTGTCTATTCACTTGGGTCAGCTGATGTGGAACAGCTGTAGATGGTCGGATTGATTTAGTCCCGGTGACCTTATCCTGTCCTCTCCAACCCATTTAGGAACCGCGATCTCAGGTGAAAGTGTGTTCCGTTTGAAGGAACAGCCGACGCGTTTTTAGGCAGAACGAAATTGTGTGGACCGCCCATTCTGTGCTCTTTCTTTTTCAACTAATGTTCTGAAAAGAAATTGTGTTCACCACATTTGTTTGATGCGTCCACTTCTATTTTATTTTATTACCGATTCAAAAGTGGGATGTCTCATCGTGACACTTCACGATACATGCATTACGGCCATTGCCAGATGCAAGGTGGTCGACAAACACTCGAATAGTGAAACTATACTGTATGTACACAGCCATCTCGTGATATTTCAACCTATCTAGACAGTTCTACCCTTCAGCCTACATTTGTTTGTGACGCATTTAATGTGGTATCTCGTGACAGTTGGTCACCCTCCACCCGTTTGAACCTTCCCTAGAGGCCAATGAACGGAATTCCTTACGTAAGTTGTTCCGGTCGTAAAGGCGAGTCTGCTCTAGCTACGAGTTATTCTAATGATACAGATAAATAAATATGTTATCTCTCGACTGTGCGAGGCAGATCGACAGATACCGATAATTCTTCCCTATACAGACACCTATGCAGTCTTATTGAGGGTTCCACTCACAAAGCACTAACGCTGATGGCTTCCCTCTAAAACATTGAACCTTGTTTCTGGGGTAGTGCAACAGTATACATCTCCAGTTTCTCCGTTATACATTTCCACCGGACACTTGTTTTGGGAATCTTATGAACTCGAATCGTAGCAACCGGAAGACTGTGAAACTTGTCAAATGATTGGAAGTAGTGTAACCCGCTTAGTCCACAAACGTAGTTCGCTGTGCTCAATTGAAGATACTCGGCCTGCGTTTTGTCATTCTTTGCCGAGTCGTTTCTTGCTCTGTCCACCCATCACCCCAAGATGGTCGATATCATGAAGCAGACCATTTAATCGGCGGCGAAAGATGAAAGCGACCCCAGTAGAATGTAGACTATTGGCATGTGCTCCCTAATTGCATTGGACATACACTGTTTGCCCATTACTTGGCTGTAATTTATGCCACCTATAGGGCCTTATCATTACTGACAGCATTGACATTGCAACGCATCCCCCTACTGGACTGCTAGTCCAATCATTCTGCGCGTTAGCATCAAGGACTGCCGACTGACTGCACACAAAACGCTGCATTCCGTTTATATGATGGCCGGATATGTAGACTCTTTATGGCAAGTGTTCCATTTGCCTGAACGAGCGATCATTATTTCTGACGCCTCATCATTTTCGCCCTTGTTCGCTTTTAGAAATTAAATCGCGTTGGTGTGACCGAGAGACATTCATACGAATTCCTAGTGTATCTCTCGCCTTTATTGTGACCATTTAGTACAATACTCCTCTCTTCAGGCAAAATTCTTTCTAATGATCCACCATCAGATTTGAAAGGTTGCATCTCACCGAGTTACATTTCCCCAACTGAATTGCTTTGGTATTTTTACGTTCAGTGGTTTCAAGCTCCCGTTCACAGCTACCAACATTGCCGAACCTGCTAGCTTGGTCTAATCGCCACAATGAGCACAACGTCCCTGTGTAAATAGACGTGGGCTTAGAAGTAAATTCACTTCACCACCCAGATGGCTTGTTTGTGTCGTTCATTTGCCCATTTGTCGTCTATGAAGGTACCTGCGGTGGTGGCCTGCTGCTCCGTTTATCCACGAATTAGCCATACTCAAGACCAATCGCTGACGATGAAAAAGCATCCATCACAGTAACAACACTTTGAGGCATCAGGCAATCACGTGAAGTCGACATGTAAACAGAACTTTTGGCTCAAATGCACCAGCAACAAGGTCACTAGTTATGTTCATCGCCCATGGGCACATTACATGTCATTTAGGGTAGATCGAATTCGTCGTCCGGTGGCCGAGTGGTCTGCACACCTGGTTTGCAACCATATGATCACCGGTTCGTATCCGCGTATGGGGTGGGCGTCCTCAGCCCACACGCGACTGGTGGTGGTCGCGCGGCAGCGAAGCGCCGTTGCGGCGTACAGTTGGCGATTCATTCAGATCGAATTCAGTCATGTGGGAAAAGCCAGTGACTGCTTTCCCTTAGTTGCTGCTTGTACGTAACCAGGCTTGAACGCAATGCATGAGTTTACCCGCCTCCTTAGCGTTTTTGTGGGACCCCCAAATTCACTTTTACCGTAGTGACCGTGTGTCGGAAACAAACCGAATCTGTCTGACTTGAAGTTGATGAACACCTCGGTTACCCTGGTTCCCTGTCTGTACAACCTATGGTTCACCTTGTCCAGTGTGATTTGTAAATTGTCTTCCCTGATGAGCGGATACTCACCCGCTTCAGACTATTGATTGCTAAGATACACTTCTCCGAGTTTATTGGTATATTACATAGCAGAGTCTGGAAACCCACATACCTACACCATGGCTCACTTCATGATGTTGGTCACTTGTTTTTGTGCCGGTCAGACCATTGCCCAACATGCTTCCAATGGAATTGAATGGAATATTAGAAAAAGAAATTATCAAAAAAGCTTGTTTTCAGGGGGATCATCAGGTCAATACAACCACAACAATGTAGATCAAAAATGAACACATGAGTTATAGGTGCCAGTAAGTCAAACTTTCTCATCAATAAGCCTAGGTGATTAACTCGACCTGTGTGGAGTCGGGAGAAATGACGTGATAGGTATGATTACTCGTGCTAGTCTGTGTCCATGATAAACAGAGGGCCTGCACAGAATTCTTCTGTGCACACAAGTCCGCGTTATGGAGCCGAATTGCGATTGCCTCTGCTGTCGACAGTACGCGGCATCTGACAGCTCGTGTGTGGCACCCTACTACACATTCGATCGGTTGGAGTGCATCATTTTTTTATTTTGTGGTTCGAATCCACTAAGTTTGACAATACTGCACTCGTCACATTCTTCCTCATCCCGATCGTTCGGTACGGGTTCCATCTAAACCCTGTGCGCTACTCTCTTATCGCCTTAGTCATCAGTTGCACCTTTACGTCATTCCGAACATGTTGGGCAGAGGTGAAAGTGACTGGTCATACTGAATCTGCATTGCTCGTTCTTCGTGGTTCGCTTGTGACTCGTTGCTACTGTTGTTACCTTGCTACTACGCTGAACATGCTCCTCTCTCTTGTTGGATCCAGCCATACAGTTCGATGAGCACAACTCTGAAACCACGGGCTCATCTATTCCGTACTGACTGGCAAATACTTTTGACATCGGTTGTTTTATGCTTGCGCATAGGTTCCCACATTTACGGCACAATTGGAGTACACACCAATCGCGCATCTGCTTGCGTTCACCCTTTGGCACGAAACCACTGTTTCCTCTCACGACTGTCTGCTTGACACATGCATTGTCGATAGTACTGATCTTTACTACGTATTTTTTTGGTCTGCGCACCTCCACACTCCGACAGTCCCTTGTTTACCTTGACAATTGACTGTTGCAAAGATCGCAGCCTCGCTAACATGTTCAACTCTGCACCACGCAACTGTAACCACATTCATCTAGCTGTGTGATGTTCTCATTCTGCCAATCATTCCTTGCAGGCCATACTTCGAGAAGAAGCTGAGCAAAAGCGCCGCTGTCGTTCGCATCAGTTCCTAGATCCTGTATCGGCTTCTCGGTCGCCAAACGCTGCCGTTGAACCACTTTTCAAACCCCGGTACTCCACCCATCAATTTGTCTGTAAGTCCTCGAAAATTGCCTGATCCGTCTGATTGCTTATCGACTGGTGCGTGCACTTCTGCTCATTCAGTTCTGGTGAAGGCACGGTGCCCCCTACACTTCTACCGATGGGCACACCGGGAGCTATTATGGCTCTGTGCTTCGGGTGAGCGCCAGCCAATGCATTGTGTGTTGGTGTGTGTGTTGGTGTATTTTCCGCCCCCACCCCACAGTTCATCTGACCCCGCCCTTAGCTCACAATAATCTCCCCCACCCGTTTCAGCTCCATCCCGAAACAGTCTGCGTTTTCCACACTCTGTGCATCATCCACTCGGCTACTCGATGGAGTTTATCCATCTTGGCTACCGCAACTGGACTCTGACCCCGTCACAGTCATGTAAGCATTGGCGAATTGCAGTCACTTGCGAGTGCTTGACAAGCACTGGAGACTGTGTCCTTCCCATCATCCGTCTGCCAATCCACCTCACCATTGTTCATTCGATTTTGTTTCATTTATTCGATCGGTGTTATTGGTACGGTGACCACCACACGGATTGTGTCTCTTCGTCCTGGACGCTGATCATCACCCTTCACTCGCACCCCAAGCACACACTTACCATCAGTCGTATGGGTGCACATGCTACTGCCTGCATCTCTTCACCTGCTCGCCACTCACTGCCAACTTGTACTCATCCGAGAGGTTCAACTTGGGTCTAGAACTCGCTCATAGGGATTAAATTTATTCCAGCCCTCCTGTTCTCATTATAGCACCGCTGGTTTTCATCAGTAGTATCCGTGCTTTTCGCAACTCATCGTCTAAACGTTCTGGTTCATATTCCCTCACCGTTCCTCTGATAATCCCTGCATATGTATGAGCTGTCTCTGACTTTCTTCATGGCGATCCTCTCTTGGCGGCATGCAAGACTCCCAAATTCTCTACCGGTCGGTGGTCTTTCCCTCCAAATGATGCGGTCTATAGCAGTCTCGCTGCTCCGCATCCACTAGTGCCGGAGAATTGTCCACCCACTGATCTAGAGTACTTCGGTTTCGCGGGAACTCGCTGACATTTTAGGCTCAGTAATCTCGTTTTAGTATTACAGCGTTAAGCGCCACTATTTCTGTACAGGAAGCAGTTTTCGCGACGCCGTGCGAAGACACTTGACCTTTGCTCCCTAGCCCCCTTGCATGTGCGATGTTTTTGATGTACACGAAGCAGTGAACGAAAGTTCGCATTAGGACGTTTCGTCTCTAGACTGTATAGACGATATTTGTGTGGACCGACCTTATCTTTGTTTACATTGAAACGAGCAATCGATTTGCTCATGAGGTGAGGTGTCCTCTCTTTTTCATTTTTACGACACACGCTGGCCTTGTGCGGCGGGTTTACTTGGCGCAGAAGCAAATCTGTGTGTCCTGTCGACAATAGCGGTTGGTACTCAAGAACTGTTTGCCGGTCGAGTTACTTCGTCTGTGCGAAGTATGGATGCTCATTTCTACACCGAGAACCCTGAAGTTGTTGTCGTTCTTTGAGTTTCATGTTCATTTAAAGCGTCTAATCACACAGAACTATACACACGAAGATTAATCAACTAGTTGCATAGTATATCGGCATCCTGGCTTTTATACACTACGTAAGTACCTTTTCGATATTCTCGAATGGTTTTCCCTAGGTTGCTCGATATTCATTGAACGATCATAAATATTTTATGTGACGTAGGTTTCTAGACAAGCGACTTACTCTGGACCAGGCACACTGAGAAGAAATTGATTACCATGTTACTAGGCGCAGTCACTATTGGGTTGGAGGGAGGCGGGAGTAGTTAAGTGGTCCGACCATAGAGTTAGCTCCAAACATACAACTTCTAGACGCCCGTTGAATTACTGATTACGTACGCAGTACATGTTACCCAATTTTGTGAACGAGTAGAGAATCGCGTACTCACAATAATGTAGCCGCGGTTTTAAATCCATCAAATATGAGGGATTATGCTCTATCGTTGATTCCCGAAGGGACTGAACAGTGGTTCCGTACTCCTTCTGTTGTTTCATGACAATTGGCCTGCTACTGGCTACAATGGGTTTTTATCTAAACCGATAGGACACCCGCCACTCCTGTTGGATCTGACGACACAGCATTTACCCGACAAACGTGGATTAGCGAGCTGTTTCCGGCCGCCGACGCAGGAAGAAAGCGAAGCTACACTATTACGGTGTTTCACGACGGAGTTCAAAACGAAGCTGCGAGACCGTAACTACATTCGGGATGTACATACCGGTCTCACAATACACTCTGAATTCACGCAAGCTCCTCTTTTCTTACTGTCGCTCGTTTGCCCCCGGCATTCCTAGCATCCGGTAAACCGCTGATTGCAATTCTACCATAACACAGAAGTAACGACTGATTGCTTGAACACGCCTTAGCATGAACTCCTAAGCGCCCACGAAGGCGTCGGGTTCGATATTGCAGGGTCCCTTGTGCAATACCTCTCCGCTGATACCCACCTAGCCTGTGTCACAGGCTAGAATCGAGTCAGTAGAGTCAACACTGGTGTAAACCGTATCACACAATCTTCTACCAGAAAATGACCTCATCTACAGGGCAATTAAGGTGGTAGATTCAATTTAACGATCACAGACAAAACTCTTACTATCACTGGCGGGGCATCTCTGGGATTATGGACCGACGCTTCAGGTGGTGGACCCGAAATTGATTGATTGATTGCTTCCTGGATGGGTGCCACTGATCATGCAAGCGGTTGGAAACCTCATATGATCTTGATCGTGCACCAAGTTAATGGTATTTTGCATTCAGAGTCTTCCTTCCTTCCGCCTGTTTTTCCGTCGGACCTTCCGATCGTTTTTAACCCTTTCTACCTACCTTTTCCTAGCCTCTCGGCCCCGCGTTCAAGTCCCGCTTCGAGTCCCTCCCACAAAGCCCTGGTCTGTTGCTAGAAGGTGACACCTCAACGCCAGGGTTATGGTCCCTTAACCGATCTGAAGTGAAGGTGCGTGAAGTGGAATCCCAGTTGCCAAGGTTCTGGTGAACTTCCATGTTTCTCATCTTCTGGGAGTTTGGCTAGCGCCCTGTGTTTACATTCCCCACGGGTTGAAATACGAATGTAGCCCACAAACAATGTCCACCTTATAGCGATACGAATACATGTCTTGCAGGGTCATGTATTTCTGGCCGCGAACATACACTGCGCTAGAACCATTTGACGCTCGTTTGTCTATTTTGGCATCCTTTAAGGAAAGCTGTTTCTCTAGCCATCTTGCGTGCCATTCGCCCGTGCAGGTGTAATCGTTCTTGATAGACACTGCTAAACGAAGAGGCCTAACACAATAAGTCAGTGTCTTTTTCACAGACCTAGTGCTCATTAACTGCTCATCTGCAGTGGCGCAGCAACTACTTTTGCCACCCGGGGCGGTGTCAAAATTTTCGCCCTGACTGAGGGCAGAATAGGCGCGTGAAGGCCACACAATCGGCTCAGGGTAAAGTGCACATTAGTTTTCGATGAAATGGATGATTGTTTGGGACACTGAGGTAAATGTGGTGAAAGTGACCACAGTGGGGCAGGTAAGGGGATTGCTGGAAAGGGCATTTGCACAAGTGTGACACATGGCGCAAAGGTGTTTTTGGTCATACAGAGTGACATTAAATTCTTCAACCCTCAGCTTCTCCGGATATTTTGCCCATTATATTTCGTATCGAACACTCGATGGTACTAATAACGTCACCCCCCCCTGTCACATGTAGCCCGGGGCGGACCACCCTCCCCCTATGCTATACCTCTGCTCATCTGCCATCACCTCTGCATCATTCCTATGCTGTACTGCACTGATCGTCTGTAGTGTCTGGTACCACGTAGATCATCGCAGCGGGGATTTACTGCTCCCATTGAGTTCACTTGTCCAATTATACGAAACATCGTTTCCTCATAGCGTGAATCTCGGCCTGCCAGAGTCTGTGCAGTCGCGCCGTAAGAATCGCCACAATTTCAACTTACACTCACGACCACAATGTGATTGCCACAATCGTTCCACAGACCACTGTATCATCTAGCTTCATGACAAATTTCCTGGTTGACACTTGAATCACCTGGTCATCTGCGTTCTCCATTTGGACAATGAACAGAAGCGTAACGGAGTACTCCCAGCCAAATATATCTGGCCACCATGGGGATCATCATGACCTGACGGACACTTCGTTTGTTTCGTAGGATCTATCACTGTCATTTATTTCGGCGAACAATTTTCAGACCACTGCTCGGCTACTAAGTTGCCAAGTAGTGCATCCCCATGGTCTTGCATGGTTTGAGGCAAGTGACGCTAAGCTGATCGAGACACATTGGCTTCGCATCTACATAACTACCACATGAAAGTCAGTCTGTGTCGTGCACATTTATCTCTGCATATGGTTGGCGGTATCAGATTCCGGATTCGCCTGTCATTGCGGCCAACATAAAACAACCACAGAACGCCTGCGCCTACACAGGGACCATGGGTGGCTTGCGCTGCACCACCCACCGCTCCATCCACACACCCCATATCCAGTGTAAAGCCTAAGACCGGGGGGCATGTGGATGTCAGCCACGTTTCATCAACAATGCCTGTCAGCACTGCAACATGTACAGCAGCAACACTCTTGTTTAGCCATATGGGGAATCATGCGTCCCAGACGTTCACAAGCAGCGTATTTACCAATTGCTGCACTGATGGGGATTACATATTTAGCTTACTCGTTTACTCTTAGATGTAGACCCCACTTGGCGAAACTGGTGGCTTACTAAGCCAGCTTGGTTCGTTCACTCGCGACCGCAAGTGCAACAGCAAAATGCGCTCGACATCGATGAGCTAGAATCCATCGGTGCATCTATCGATGCTTCTTTTCCGCATTCAGTAATGATTTCTAATGCACCTAG